AAATCTAAATGCTGTACAGATGCATCTCTTCTTTGATGCATTTCCATTTTTCAGGAAGGTTTCTGCTTTTCGGATTTGCTCCAGATTGAATTGGCATGAGTTTGTAAGTCCAGCAAACTCTGCCTTGAATAATGGGTTCAGGGATATGTTATACTCCTCATTCTGTAGAAGTGGCCTCCCTGGCTGGCTCAGGTGAAGTGGCAACAACCTAGTAAATGCTGTGAAGCAAGAACTAGCTTGCTGATGGTGTCCAACTTTTATATTTCAGACCAGACTGTTTCAAGGTTGTGAGTATGCTGACATTTTTCAAAATGTGAGTATTTCACATTCCAATTGAATTTCATACCTTGGCACGAAGTGGAAGAACATCTCTGTTCACACTGGGGTATTTCAGAGAGCTTTTCCCAGTTTTACAGGATCTGGAAATGTAATCCTTAAAAATTAAATTTCCTAGGATGAATATAAGAAATAAGTAGGGGTATATTTTCCAGTGGAGAACAAGAAAATAATGTAATTTTTGCCCTTTTTGAGAGGTACGGAAGTTGAAAGGCCTAATTTATCGAAAAGGCAGAATACGGGAAACTTATTGAGACAGTTGGGAATGCACAGCAAGAGCAGTGGCCTTTGGCTACGTTCAGGACAGTCTGAAAAGGACAACCTCTACAGCCATTAAATCTTTAACATTTCTTGCTATTCTTAACTGAAGCTGATGGAAGAGGAAATAGAAATATTTTAATAGTTTTTAAATGCTCTCGTCATGAATTATTTTTCTCCGAGCAGGTGAAATGTAGCACTGTGTAGATGCATTATGTTCTCATGGACTGCCTCATTTAAAGAAACATTCATACCAAACACGGTTGCAAATCTTTAAATGGCTTTTTTTTATTATTTTTCTCTTGTTATTGTGCCTCTGCAGGGTCTACATAGAAGAAAATCAGTAGATCAGCAGAATGCTGCTGCTATTGCGGAGCCTTTGTGTGGCAGTATAAATATGAACAATATTTCTCTGAATCCCATCCCTCATTTCGGGACCATTTCCTCAGCAGGCTGTCACGCAGTACTAAGGACAAGTTGGCTTCACAACTACTTGAATGAAGTAGAGAATAAAAGAATGTTTTCCTCTTTATGGAAAGAAAACCTGCTTAGACTCAAATAGGAGGAAATCACCACAAGCGTACCTTGTATCTACTCATCTAAACAGACTATTCATGCTGTACAATATACTTGCCAGTTCTCAGGTTGTCTTTCAGCTTTTTTTTTTTTTAAATCATCCTATCACAGTGGGCACACAGGGATAGATTTGTTGACTCACTTCTTTAAAATTATCTTATAAATATGGAGTAAGTATGTAGGTTGCTCTGAAAGTAATGCCTCCTGTGTATTTCCATGGAAATTACAACAGACATAAGAGCACAATAACACTACTTGATAGAGCAAGTTCTCAACTACAAAACATGAATTTTCAACAATAGTTACTACATTAGCTGATTCGTGTGGATGAGCTGTTAGGACATTCTTCATTTTGTGTTGCGACAGCTGTGCACAGTGATCTGAAACATGACTTGTATGTCACATTCTTGTTGCCACTACTGAAACGTACCACCTGCCACCTGACTGTGCTCGCATCCACTGTTTGGTCTTCAGAAGCATTCAGCAAGCAGTGATGAAAGGCAATGGATACAATTTTTTTCCATATGGAGGAATTCAGTGACAAATCTTTGCTTTGTTGGTGAGCCCCAGTGTGTAGCATATCTACAAGCTTCCCTGTCAGACCCATCATGTCAGACTGCCTCTCTGTTGTCATTTGTCACACAGGAACTACATGTAAGGGGATATTGGCAGAAGTTTCAACATCTACTGCCATACCACCACCATCTGACCCTGATGTCATGGACAAACATAACAGGAGGCATAACGTTTGGAGCAGCCTTCATATATTTGTGAGATCTCAGAGCTCCACAGGCCCAGCTTAAAAGCCTGGTTTGTTTTTAGATGTATCTCCATCTGATGCCTGATAGAGTCACAGAAGGATGCTAAAACATTCCTGTAGTTGTTACACTGGAAAAATCCACTATTCAGATCCCTCCTTGGACAAACCACTGAACTGTAGCTCATTCCCCACTGATAGAGAACCCACCCAAGATACTGGACCAATTTTAAAGTTGGAGGCTTAACAGCTCAAAGGGAGGTTACTTTATTGGTGGAGGGATTGCAAGGAAGCCCTAAGCCCAGCCAAAAGGTATGGACAACCGATCCTTAAGCAGCGGGCAACTGCTTTCAAGTCAGTGATCTTTCTTTAACTCTCCTTCTCATGTAGCATTAGGCAGGACATTGGCATCCGTGATTTGGAGCCCAGAGTGTGGAAGACAAGTCACAGTGATGGGTTACAAGCTCTGTTATGGGTAGCACTCCAAACGGTACCTTAATTTTTAATCTTGAAAATGCTTTCCCTGAAAACAGTAATTTAATCAGAGCCTGCAAACACGTTGATTTCTTAAACAGACTTTTCCCCCTCCCTCCCAAATTATCTTTAAGGAAATGCTTGCAAATAGTTTTAAAACTTCTTCAACACAAAGATTTATCGTTTCTTGGTCTTGGAAAAACAAAACAAAATAAAACAAACAAAACATCATTAATTTATGAATATTATAATATTTAATTATTGACTTTTATTCTTGAAACACTGAACGCTGCTGTTCACTGTGGAAAAGATGATCATATAGTGTCTCCTCACATGTATATGACCATCCTGAGTTTTTGAAGGGTCAGAATGCTTATCCTGTTTTTTTTTCCTTTTTTTTTTTTTTTCATTCAGTTGGCATATTAACTGTACTCTAGTCACTTATGCTCTATATCTTCATTTTCTGTCACTTGCACTTAGGTCATTAAGTGCTTACTATTTCTCAAGTAGTAAGAACTATAAAAACAGTTTTGTTTATGCATTTCTTCTTGGAAAATACTGTCTCTGCTTCTTAAAGTGTCTATGCTGCTTCCTTGGTGGACACAGTAATTGCTACCACACAACTAGGTATACTCTTAGACAACAGTTTTTATATAAAACCCAGAAAAACTACATGCATAAACATACATGCATGCATCTGCCTGCCCTGAGTACCTTGATTTCATATATTAAAGTTGATTGGGCTATATATTCCAGTAATCACAGACATAGACTCCATTGCTATAACTGAAGTTACACATGGTAAACACATTGCCTGCAATCTTACAAAAGACACTCAGTCAATCTTCCAATCCAATCTGCAGTCTTTCTTACACACATGAAGAGAAGCAGGCAGAACACGAGGAATAGAGGAGTGGGCAGCTCTCTCTGCAAAGTTGGCCCAGGAGCTGGAGACCCACGGATGGGTTGACAGTGGACTAAGGCTGGGTTCAACCAGCCAAGCCACTTGGTTTTGAGGATTTCTACACAGATACGAAGTGAGAGGCCTGTACACTTGCCAGCTCCAATCCAAAATCCAAAATCCACATGGACAAAACTTTGCATCCAGAATTAAATGCTTTGTGTGACCACATCAATGATGCCATTGCTGCCTCCAGCTCTTCACTAAGACCAGCCAGCCCAGGGAGAGGGCGTAGGGAGCTGCATTTACCCTAACCAGCTTCCACAGAGGTGCTGCATGTTGCTTCTCCTCTGCTGGAGTCGGGAACAGCAGAACAACCGAGAAAATACTGTATTTACACACAGGCAGGAGCTGCACTGCTCCTTTAGGCGTGTTACTTAAAATGTAACACGAAGATGTCGTTTTCTGGGCTTCTTTTGTCTTTCTCTTAGAGCCGAGCAGCACTCCTGAGAACAGTCTATTTAGAATGCAGTTAATTTAAGACTGCTTTGTTTGTAATTCCATGTGGAATTGTCCGTGATTGCAAGGAGTTTGAAGAAAAACAATGAAAGATTGTTTCCTTCAGTGCTGCTACTGGTTTAAGCATTGTGTACTCCTGTGGTATTCATTAACAAGAGAAAGGAGGAAAGCACGCAATTGCTGCTAGAGGTGTTTGAGAATTAACCTCTTCCTGTAGAAATGTTACGATGAACGCAAAGTGTTGGGGTAGAACGTTGCCAAAAATAAGAAACTGAAGAATGATAACATTTTGGATTTCTCTAACATCATCAACAGTGAAAAGGTTTCTGGCCAGCAAACAACTAAATACAACACTTCCTCATTCCTTTGATTTTTGGCAGCCCCCCAAACTTCTTTCTTTTCTGTTTACAGAACTGTTACTCAGTCCTGATGCATATTAAGTTTAAAGTGAAAGATTTCATTTTTCCCCCCAAAAGGTCTGCCCTGTCAAAAGCTATTTTCTGCGGAACACCATCGCAGCAGAACAGTTTCAACAAGCTCTTGTTGCATCTGAGCTCAGGCTCCCTGTGTAGTAACACATTGCACTGTTGGCATGCTCCCCTCACTAACAGCCTATAGCAAATTTGGTGTCATCTGTTCTGATTTCCTTTGCTGAGACACAGGCACTGTGCCTTATTCCTTTGTAACCTTGGATTGCTGATGTTTTTATTCTTTCTAAAAGAAAACTCCATATTTAAGCATTACTTAACAAAATTTCATTTTTGACTCAACCCCACTCAGGGTTTAAAGTGATAATGTAATACAAACTGAGTGGTCATTGCTGAGCTTGTAGGCATCTGTTCTCAGGTGATGAGCATTTTCGTGTTCAACGAAGGTCACAGGATGAGGATGTTTAATACTTGGCTCCTCTGCCATGGTACATATGACTGTGAACATTTGTTTGCATAATCTTGAATTTAAAAAAATGGTACCTTCATGTAGAAACAGAGAGACCTAAATGCAAAGCAGATTTGCTAGCCCAGAAGTGTCAGGGTAGAATTTGTCCCTTTTTTTTTTTTTTTGCAAAGGTCAGAAGGAAACTACTACTTCTAAACAAGTACATCTGGTGGGTAATCATTTATTATGGGGATGTTTCAGAATTATTCTACTTCCTTGTGGTCTTTTGGGCTGGCGATTTGCACTCTACTAGCCAGTGAGTTGAATAACAGGTCTAAAAGATTAAAGGTCACAAGGTATGGGATTAGTCTAATCCAAACCTGATGTTTACAAGACACATGTATGGTGTTTACCCATCACCATCAGTTTTTCTTTCAGCCAGCAAAAAGAAGTGAGAAATTCTACAGTGTGAGTCAAGGAGCTTTTTGTGAAGTCAGAGAGGTATTATCCTGGGAGGACTGCCAAGACAGGACAACCTGGTCAGACATAGATGTCTATACTGCAGCTTTCTCAGACTCCAAGAGATGAACCACAGCTGCAGGGTCCTCACTCAGAAGGTAAGAAAACTCCTTACCTTGTACTAGAGGTGCATATGCGGCTCTCCTTGCCAGTCAAGTCCATGGACAGGGATTGTAGCTAGTCCAGGTTAGTGATAAAAGCAAAACAACAGAGAACACTTCAAAACCACTTCTTGGAACAACACTCAGTTTTTAACCAAAGCGATCTGTAGCTCCACTTACAAGGGTTCCATAATGTAACTTTCTGTGAAGAGTTTACCACATTGAGAGTTAAAGTTGGTAGGGAAAAGTGGATGCAATTACTGGTCTTCTGATTGACAGCAGCTATCAGGTGACAGGATGTCATTTTAGAAAAAGAAAATCCTTGTCTCAAAGAACATACAATGGTAGTTCCACTTGGATTCCTGGGACACAGGGTTATTTATTTATGCTATATGTAAAAATGAAGGTAAAACTGGAATAAATTCATTTGTATCATACTTCTAGCAATGTTTTTTCAATGTTGGTTTCATATTTATACTAACACTGAAAATTCTGAGTAGCATCAGCATTACATCAGAGATGAACTCTGCAAAAATTTTCGCCAAGGGTAATTTATCCTTAATGCTTCTTTGTAGGCACAAAAGAGAAGGAGAAAACCAGAAAAGTCTGCTCTGTCTAGTTAGAAAAAAAATACGGCTTACTGCTCTGCAGATGCAGAGGAGAAAGCAGGAATGGCACTTTATCATACCCTTGCACCTGCCCTCCAGGGGCCTTCTAATCTCTTGCTACCGTCTCATAGAATGTGTCCCTTTAATAAATCTTTCAGCCTGTGTTTTGAAAACTTTTGCTGAAGTTTAACCCCTGCTGGGAGATATCAGTCTCAGACCACAGTGCTGAGCCTGTCCTCTCTCTGTCAGGCTTCCTGCTTATGTACTTTGCTTGGAAAACTCTCTTAAAAATGTACTGCTTGTGTGCAGTTCCCAGCATGGCTATTATTGATGGTTCTGATTTTCTCTTGGAGTGTGAGAATGAAAAGGATTTCTAAGGCATTCAGAGTACCCCTTGTTTCAACACATAATATGGAAAACCAACTTGCCTCATTTTAAAGATGATAAGCTGTTTTGAAAGTTAATTACCTCTCAGAGATGGAAATCAGATCTCACCTCAAGGTGGAATTTGTCTGACCTTGCATCCAGACAACAGCTCTTGCAGTTTATTTGTTGGCCTGGCTGAGGAATTGCTGTCTACCAGATTTGTTCTTTGTTTGCCCTTCCTCCTGTCCTATCTTTTAGAAGCTATGTTTTGAGCCTTTAGGGTTTATAACACCAAGTTTGCTCTCAAACTCTTGGGCTTTTTTTTTCTTTCTTCCAGTGAATTCACTCCATATTGCTAAAATGAGCTCAACAGAACCAGGCTTGACATTCCTATTTGGCATGCCCTCTAGCAGCAAAATCCTTTCTCTGCTGTTTGACATTCACCTTTTTTTGATGTCAAGGGCTGAGACAGCCCTTCATACTTCCCTGTCTGACGCACACACCATCCCTTGATTCTGCATTCCCAACTTGCAGGTGAGATCTGCATCCCACACTTTGTTATATTTCAAGATTTTTTTTTAATGCATTGGTGTCACTTTTCATGCAAATGAAATCTTTTTGTAAAATCAAACTTCTTCCTCATTATTTCCTATTCCACTGATCTCTGTAATCTGCAGACTTTTCTGACATCTACTGTAAATCTTGGTAGGGCATACATTCCAACTTCACCTTAGAAGATGGAGTAGGGATCACAATTAACATATGATATATGGGCCCTATAGTGACATATTTTTAAAGATAACCATAAAGATTTAAAAAGCCCTTGTAGCTTGTTTAAAGTTAATGGTAACAGTATAAATTTAAACAGTTTTCATTGTTTGCATCAATAAGCTTTCAAATATTGTAATATATGAAATGCTTATGTTTGGGATCAAATTATTATGGCTTATTGAGCCAAGAGCCAAGACATACATGGTAAAGTATGCTTTCAGAACCAGCAAGAGCTCTAAGCAGTGGTAATGACAAACAAAGGTATTAGTAATGAAATGTTGAAACCGGGAAATTTCAGAAGAAGAAATTTTCTTCATGTCCAACTGTTCATAAAACTTTCTCTATGGTTACATTCATTCTGTTACAGATTTCTTTACTTAGAGTCCAATTCTTCTGTGGTAGTCTTTCCTATGAGCAGGTGAGTTCTTTCTCCATTATTTCTTGTCACATTAGGGGTTGTAGGCACATCATAACATGATTAAGCATTTCGTGGAATGAAGCAGAGTGGAAAGTGTGAACAGAAAGGTTTTGACAGTTCAATCTATTCCAACACCATGAAAGACAGAAAATGACTGAATTACTTAATGAAAACAAAATGAGGTTAAATCTTGGTAGACTGTTGGGACCTTTACATTATAAATCATTAAGAATGACACACTCAAAATATAGCAATATTAAATGGGGATATTTTATATGCCTTTTCCTTCCTTCCTTCCTTCCTTCCTTCCTTCCTTCCTTCCTTCCTTCCTTCCTTCCTTCCTTCCTTCCTTCCTTCCTTCCTTCCTTCCTTCCTTCCTTCCTTCTTCCATCTTTTGATGAATAGAGATATTATACATTAGTTCAATCCGGCTATCTTGTGTTATGTTGAAATCACTGACTTTGCAAAATGCCTACTTCAGGGTCAAGACGTATAACTGGCTACTTGTAAAGATGAAACAAATATGGTGTCAAGGAAAATATTAAAAGAAGTTAAAAATAAAAGAGTAGGCACACTGGAAAAATGATGCCCTTAGAGGCCAAGAAGAAGGTTTGGCTCTGATAGCTAGGGCAGATCTCTCACGCTGCTCTCAGGCTCCTTTTTACTGTGGCAGAGGTATGACTTGCCCAGTGATGAAGCTGCATTTTCAATGGAATAGATGAACCAGGCATTTCCAAGACGGGGAGTAGGAGTTTCCTTGACTACACTGTAAGGTAACTTCTGTGGGTAGCCCATGATCAGGGCTGAAAAAAGCAATGTAAGAGCTTGAACAAACAGAAGAAAATTTGGCTCACACACTGTTCTTTCAGAGACTGAAGTCTTTGTTCCTGAATAGCTCTCTCCAGACTTTCCCTAGAGAGAAAGATCACATTTCTAGGGAGAAAGCAGAGTTCTCTCTGGAGGAGATCTACATAATCTGCAGATTTTGATCCTGGGATTTTTAGTTCAATTGTTCCCTTTAAATCTCTATATTCATTGTAAACACAAGACATGGTAAAACTGTTAAACAGGATATAAAAATTTTAAAAGATATAAATATATTTGGTGGAAACTATTGATTTTCCCAATATCAAAGAGTACTTTGCTTTCCTCTTATGATATATTAATATTCTGGAATTATAAACAATAATGTGAAGTACTCTGATAATTACTTGTGTTGTTTGATATGTACTTTTTTAGTTCTTCATTTTGAAATATCTGAGATTTTGTACTTTTTCTGCCCCAAACCTTTGAAAAGTTGGAATTTTGCAGGGTGCCAAATGTCTGCATTTTTTGAATTTGTATTTCAGTACAGAGAAGATGAAAAATGTAGTTTTCCCCAGAAGGAAGAGTGAAAATGAAGAGACGCAGGACAGATATCTTGACTCACATCTAGCACAGTGGAAGAAAAGTGAGCTATCAGCAGAAATGTGCTTCACTGTTGCCAGTAATCTGTGATTTCCATTCATGCCAATTTATGAGCAGACTGGGGCCTATTTTCCTTTTGTTGTGTGTGAGTAATTCCCATTGTTGAAAATTGAAGTTGTTTGTTGTATTAAAGAGGAAAATGTGCTTAGAATGTGATTGTATCTGCTTTTCTCCACTATTTTTCCGTACTGTGTGTTATTGTTTTGAATGTCATCTGGTTTTTTTTTTTTTTTTTTTTTTTTTTTATAATAAATAATCTACTTCTACAGCATATTCTGAATAAGGCCAGCTTTCAGTAATTGCAAGAAAAAAGGCATCCTTTTCTTCAGCGTGCTATCATTTCAAAACTCTGCAGGCAAACTTGCAGCTGGTTTGCTTTTTCCCCTCCATTTTGGTCTCTTTTACTTTCTTAAATCCATGCTGACGGTCCCAATGTTCTCTGTTCCACTGGGAATCAAGGAATTTATTCCTTGGTTATGCACTGAGTAAACTATTTTTTTTTCCAAAGAATTATACAGATTCAGAATGATCAGACCATGTGACCTTTATTGACAAGGGAGAGTTTTGCCCCTTAAATTAATGTGCATGATGGGCCTTGTTGAGCAGCTTCAACCTGAAGGAACTGATTTTTGCCAGGAACTCAGTTCTTTAAAAAGGAGTCTTTTGCATAGTCTTTGTTGCATAGTCACACTTATGTTCTGGTTGTACAGCAACTTTACTATCAAGTAAAGTTTCAATAGTAATTACAGAATCTAAAACACTTTTGTTCTTCTTGTTGTTGGTTTTAGATTTGTATTTTCTAGATTTCATTGTGGCTAGAAGCCATGTCCCTCCATTCTGAAGGATCCCAGGATCCTTCATAAGTGTCTGGATTTACCTTATAACACTGAAGTCTTCATCTGAACTTTCCCTCAAGCTACTTTTAATTGTCATCTGTAAGTAATGTGCAGTTTTAGGCCTCAGTTCTAAAAGTTTACATAAAATTAACCAAGTTAAATCATCTTCCCATGAAGGACATTGCCACTGAAATGCTAGATGTAGTCACATTTGCATCTAAAAATGGCCAGTATCTGAGAAACAACATTCACAGTCAGTTGGCAGAAAATTAGGTGATGATTCAAGATAAAAGAAAACATCTTTTTTTTTCTTTTTTTTAAAATTACTAAACTTAATAAATTTTTGTTTTGGTAGACTAATGGCTGTAGTTCAGAGCTCTATTAGCTCAGTCCTTGATTCTTTCTGGAGTATACCTATAGACTGCATCACTTGAATATCATCTGAATAGATGGCAGTGACCTTAGTTATTCTGTGTATAAGCAGCCTGCTTCCTGAACATCAGTTCGTGAGAAAGTGATGAAGTGTTTGAACAATCAGCTGTAAAACGTGGTGTATCTTGTCTCTGGTCAGTTTTGAACTCATTGTTGAAGAACTGAGTGCACCAAGTCTCAGTGTTGAAATTCTCCTTTGCTAAATTCAGGCTGCTAATAAGCTACAATGAAAAACACTGGGAAATCAAGATCCTTAATGTTCCTACATGCCAGGATAAAGGAGAAGATGCTGATATAAGAATATGGGCTTGGGCTGTTTGAAGACATGTGATGAGTCAGAATCTGTACTTCTGCTATTCTACAAGAACTGCTGCTGAATGCCAAGTCTTGCCAACTGTGAAATTACTATTTCTGCTTCATAATGTTTTCTATCAAAACAGAATGTAGAGAAAAGGTAATAACTGAATTTTTAGAACAAATCAGACTGCTTGTCAGGACTTTTTCCTTTGATCTCCAGCCGACAGTCACAGTTTAAAAAACTTCAGACTCGATATCATCTCAACTGGCATGAATGTTTTTATTTTTCTCCAATTCACATGATAATTTGATTGAATTTGTTGTGCTACTCTTTTGACAAAAATGAGAGTATTCTTTTAAAAATGTGCTTGCACTGTTAAGTCTTTTAATTGTGTCATGGTTTTATGATTTTTGGTCATCAGTATTCCACACCATAACATCATGTAATGCACTGGGGGTGGGGTTTGATATCTGCCGAATGTTCGTCCGTCGGAGAAGAACTACATTTCCCCAGGAGGCTTTGCGGTCAGCAAGGGGATATAACTCCATGCAAGGTCACCTGAGCCTTCTTCTTCGCCTGCGCTTCGCTGTCTGCGCTTCGCTATCTGCGCTTCGCCGCCTGCGCTTCGCCGCCTGCGTTTCGCCATCTGCACTTCGCCGTCTGTACTTCAGTCACTCAACCGGACTGCACTTCTCACCCCAGGATTGTGGTGAGGTCTATACAATTCAAACAGACTCTCTCTCTCTCTCTCTCTTTGTAGTTTACTAATACTATATTTAGTAAAATCATTTGTTCCACCTCAGATCAGTGCTGTTGTTTTTTTCAAGTATTTTGGGGTCCCCTGCTTCCCCTTTTCCAGAGGCGTGGATCCGCAGATCCCTCCGCCCTGCTGGTCACGGAACTGGGCCGGACCAGCCCATAAACCGTTGACAAATTGCTAGAAGTAATAGCTACTTCCAACAGTCTTAAAAGTAAATTTAAGGTTTGAGTTTTTTAGAGTATGGGATTTTCATAGTAAGGTTTTGGTAATGGTGGGCTGCAAGCCCCACCAGCTGTCCCATGTCAGATCAGAGACAGCTCCAACTGCTCCAAAGGGACCCACTGCTGCCAGAGCTGAGCCATGAGTAATGCTGGGTGTGTACTGGGGGAGCAGATTTTAAAAAGCAAGAAAGCGACCATGGCTAACATGCAATGTATAGAGTAGATTTCTGACAGTTAGACCTGTCTAGGATCCTTACTGAGCAAAGTTCTTGGGCTCTGTTATCCAGTGTGTGACCAGTATCACTGGGTTTAACAAGCCTGTTTAACAGCCTAAGTACTCTGGCTGAGGAGGAGTATGGGGCATTAATTCGCTTTTGTAGTGTTTCACACAAATGACCTTCTGATACATGCATTTAGCCACTGCTTTCTGAAGACCAACAATCCAGTGAAGAACTGGGGATATAGGAGTCTGTTTCCTATTTTGAGAATGTTGTCCTCAGAGTCTGAAATGCAACCAGTACTGCATGACAAAGGGACTGCTTCATCCCTCTGGTGCAGATTCCACTCCATGAGAATAAATCATAGTGCAAGTAATCTAAAACCCAAATTTCCAGAGATCTGCGTAGTGCATCTAGTATCTCTGAGTCTACCGATGAGCAATGCATCATTGCCAATAGATTTCTGCAGTGAGATCTCATTGCACTTTAAAAATAAGAAGGTAAATCATATACAGATACTTAAAGGAAAGAGCATTAAGCTAGCAAATGTGAATACTGAGCAAGTAATGTAGGCCACAGTAAAGCTTTCTTTATGAGCCTAATTCATCCTGCTGTTCCTGTGTATTGTCTTTTCCTCAGGTTTTCTACTCGTACAATATAAAACATGGATCTGAGTTAGTTATGTTAAAAAACTGATTGTCTGTAGAGCTTGTCAAAACAAAAAAATATATAGTAATTAAGGCAAAGGAGTGTAAGAAGAGATGTGACACCGCTGATGTG